TGTAATAATGGTTTATATTCTGTAAAGGCAGCTTATGATTTTTTAACACTTAAAAATTGCATTTGCACCAAAAAAAAAAAAAACTTAAAAATTACATTCTTGATAGGAAATGGTGTATGTTAATTTGGAGTAAGTACGTGTTCCATCAAAGAATAGTATTTTTGGGTGGAAATTATTCCTGAATAGATTGCCACTAATGAGAATCTTTGTAAAAGAGGAGTGTTTCCACAAGGTGAGCATGCTGGTTGTGGGTTACGTAATAATGCAAAGGGGGAGCTTAGTCATTTCTTTTGTGAATGTAGGGAGGCCTGGTTAATTTGGATTAAGGTGGATACGGTGGTGGGGCTTGAAGGAAGTGTTGTTAAACAATGTTCTGGGGGTGGCAGAATTTGTGGTGGATGGCATCGGTGGGGGACGTGTACGGGCTGTTGGTGCATCAATATTTTTGTTTGTGACTTGATTTCTGGAGACTTATCCCTGGACTCTATTCAGGTAAAATCTTTTTCATAGATTAAAATTAAAGAGTCAGGCTGTGTATTTTTGTAGCAAGATTAGACATCAAGTACTCCTGCAGAGTGTGTCACAGTCATTGCTCAATTTAAAAGTTGCTCGGAAAGTTATAGGATTCAGAAGAAATCTGCTATTTGATTAAAATAATACTATTTTCTTGGCCGATGCAAAAAAGAAAAAGAAAAAGCCAGATATTGTGACAGATATAGTAATTTTGTGTTCATAGTTGTCATAAAGACTACCTGTAGCGCTGGTCTTGGATGGATTAGTGTAGAACTTTTTTCTCCATGAATCAAAAAGATCAATGAAGAACTTGATTGAGGAAATTCTAAAGTATTGGTAAATATAATTGGAAGGTATACAGATAGTTTTGGATTAAGAATAACTGCTCATTCTTATCCAATTTGTGCAACAAAACTTGAGGACAATTTATAGGCCTCTCGGTGATTAACCAAGTTGCATCATGGAGACGAACTTGGATATTTTTTAGCTTTAGATTTCACTCTATCAGCCAAATTCACACCAACTCCCTGCTATATTTGGATCCAACTCAACATAACAAGAAGCAAAGAATCTCTATAAAAACAATGAATATCCTCCCACAAACCAAAGGGTGAAACTTGAAAAAAATTCAAACTCACCTACACAAATGGGTGTCCAAGTGAGCTTTCCCACTTTGCAGGGAATTTTTAGTATTTGCACATAAAGCTGTGGCCTTTCTGCAGGAACCAGAAATGGAGTCGATGGATTTGAATGAAAAAAGAACTCCTTTTAGAATTCGAAGAGTGGAGAAACTGAGTTGGAACCTTGGAGGGTTCCCTTTTTATAGAAGGTTTTGTCATGAGCTTGTACTAAGAAATTAGAGTCTGAATTATAAAAACAATGAATATTCTCCCTTTTAAATTTAACTTTGCAACATGGTTCAAAAAAAATTATGAAGCATAATTTATTGAATATTGATTAGTATATAATTTAGTTTAATATACTGTACAATATATTTATTAAAAAGTAATTATTTTTTATATAAAATTAAAAATAAATAAATTTAAATATATAATTATATATATAAAAAACTAAAAATTGATTAAATCAGTTATACTTATATTATATATTTTAATAATTAAATTGAATAAATAAAAAAAATATTAAATTAAAAAATATACTAATTATTTTCTTAATTTATTACACCTTACTACTTATTCAACTCCAATAAGTTGTTTTGTCACACAATACTAGTTGCAGATATAAGAAATTATCACTCAGGGTAAATTTCTTGTTACTCAGATTTTTAAGTCTGTCCTTCTCTTGTTATTAATAATAATACAGTAAGTTTTATTATCAAAAGTTCAAAACACGGGAAATGTGAGGATTGTTGGATGAAGTTTCGGAAGTTTCACAATTTGCACAGTATTACCATATCCAAAGAAATTATTAAATGAAATTGAGGAGGGTATATTAATTTTTTTCAATATAATTATAGTAATGAAATTAACATTTTTAATAATATAATGTAAGAAATGTGAAACCAACGTTAACGACAAAAAAGAAAGAATAACAAGCCTCAATCTGAAATAGGATCCCCTCTTTTATAGAACTCTCTCTCGGGGAAAAAGAAAAAACGAAAATAGAAAGTTTACTATCTAAATAATTTATTAATAATTTTTTTAAAATTAAAAAATTTTAAATTTAAATGAAAAAATATATAAATGAAAGATAAAAAATTATTTTTTATTATATAATAAAAATAAAATAAGTAAATAAATAAATGAAAACCC